AGTAGCAGCCTCACAATTTTTTCACTTTTTCTTTTTTGATAAAGTAAACAATTGTAGCAAGTATAGAAGAAAACTAGAGAGAGATTGTGATAGATTGATATTGATTTTGTAAGAAAATGAAAGAATGGGGGGATTATTATAGTAAAAAATAGGGAAAAAGTGTAATAATAAAAATTTTGAGGTTAAAATTAAGTTGGGAGGGTTAAATGACTATTTTTTAAATAGCCAACGGCTATTTTTTAAACCCCCAACAACTCTTTTTTTCAAAAGCCAAACGACTATTTTTTTTAAAAGAAATATCCGAATATTACCACTTCTCCTTGCCAGAACATTACGAGTCTCAACCCGAAGCTCACCACAAGAGATCCTAGCATGAAAATATATATTTTTTTTAAAATATCCGTTTGGCTCGCCAAGAGACTGGTACGGTCCTGGTCTCTTAGCGAGCCAAATGGGCCCGGTCCTAATAGTTCCTATAAGAACCGGCCCATGAGACCGGCACGAGCCCACCTCTAGCGGGCCTAATAGTCCCAGCCTGTTTAGCCCCTTAGTGTTATGGAAGAAAGTTTCAAAAGAATGGTTGCGACAAAGTCTCCTAAGGTACTAAGGACGGTGATATAAGGATCTAAAAACAAAAAAGAGAGGAAGAGATAAAAAGAAAGAGAAGGGAGGGAAGAAGTATAGCTTAAATCTGGAATTGTCCTGAGATTTGGTTTGCCCTTTGAAAGGCTGAACAGGTTTAATTTGAGATATTGCCAAAAGTCATTAGTGGCTACCCTTTGAGTATGAAGTAGTTAGTTTTTGTTAGAGAACATTTTATCCTTAAATATGATATACATTTTTCCGCACATGAATTTTATCCGGATTGAAACACCGTGTAAGATACCAAGAAAAAGTTATAGTTCAAAGTTATCATGGTAATCGTTTCATCATGAGAAAAAGAAATATCTCACGGAGTTGGAAGGAATCAAGCATTAAGAAGTCTGTACCAAATGAGGCAACTACCGCTATTTTGCTGGCAATCTTTCTGCTGCTCCTCTTCCTTCCTCCTCCCTTCCTGAGTTCCCATTTCTTTTCTTTTTTTCCTTAAGATAGTTTTGGAATTTCTAATTTGTCCATTAAGAATTAGAATCTTTGATTAAGTTGTGATGAACATAATGGAGGGGGGTCAAGCAGGACTGACAGGCTTTTAGGCTGACAACTTTTGAAAAAGTGGTGCACATGTCACCTTAGGCAAGTCCATCAGAATGGGAGAGGAAAGTGAAAAACTTTATAAGGCATGACTAAATTCACATGGTACCCTCGCATTTGGGGCTCGAGATAATCCCAAACAGACAAATTCATGTGAGCCTAGGCCCAAAGCGAACAATACGTGTCATGGGATTGAATCGTGACAAATATGGTATCAGAGCCGAATCTCCCTCAGTACGATTGTGGGGCAAACCTCAGCGGCCAACTGTGTTTAGGGGAATCCCACATCTTTGAGAAGGTGGTGGGACAAACCTCAACGAGTACGCTAAGTCCCAAGGGGGTGGATGTGATGCTTATGACAGAGGGCGGGCCAAGCAGGACTAACGAACTTCTAGACTTGGCTATGAAGAAGGGGTGCACATGCCACTTTAGGCGAATCACACATCAGAATGGAAAGTGAAGAGTTGTATAAGGGAAGACACAAATTCATATGGTATACGCGCTTATAAGGCTCGAGGTGGCGTAACCCAGAAAGACAAATTTGTGCAGGCCTAAATCCAAAGTGAACAATATGTGCCATGAACTTGAGTCGTAACCGGCACTTGCAAAAAAACGAGCAAAGTTAAGGATAATTCGTAAAAAGTAAAAGGATAAAGTGCAAAGTAAATTAATAAATAATTAGTACGCAGATTAGTAGTGCAAGCGCAAAGAACTTTGAAAGTTACATATAATTGGAATATATGGTGTCATTAATTTTAGTACATCTAAAAGTGCAAAGAATATCACACAAATTTAGGACTAGCAGAATAGTATTTGTTTGTTTTCTTAACCAATATTCACCTCGGAATTTTGTGAACTTATTCGAAGTGGGGATGATGCAAAACGGGATAGTCAGCTTAGTGAATTGAGATACCAAATGGATAAACAAAGAAATATTTTAATTTATCAGTTAAGCCTTATATTTGGTTGAAAGGGAGTCTTAGAGCAACGGTAAAATTGTCTTTATATGATTTATTGTCACAAGTTCGAACCGTGAATGCAATCACTAATACTTACCTTAGAGTAGGCTGTCATCATCACACCCTTTGAGGTGCGGTCCTTCTCCTCACCCTGCGTGAACGTAAAATACGTTGTACATCGGGCTGCCTTTTTTTAAAGCCTTATATGAGTGCTAAATATTTCAAACAACGTTAATAATTTTTCTTAATCAAGTGTAAGACGTTAAATCCATATATTTTGAAATGGTTAAGAAGTACTAAACGAAATTTCTCCCAAAAAAACGAATTTTACTTTAAATATATCTACTGTAGCAATGCTGGCCCAATTTTTCCCGCGATTTGATTAGGGCAAATAACTCTATATATTTACTCTCAAAATAATAATCGAAAAATATTATATATATATATATATATATATATATATATATATATTATATGCAATACTTATACAATTTTTTTGGGTGAAATTCAAAAATAACCAGATTTACAATTGGTCGTTCTAAAATTGCCCAGTTTCAAAAGTAATCGAAATTTAGCCACTTTTCATGTAAAGATAAATCTGAACGAAAACACTGTTCAAAACCCGGAAAAATATGCCAGTATATTATGCTGGAGTTTCAGCATAAGTATACTTGAACTCCAACATATTATATTGGAGTTCCAGGATAAGTATACTGGAACTCCAGCACAATATGATGGAGTTCCAGCATAAGTACACTAGAACTCCAGTATAATATACTGGAGTTCCAGCAAGTATACCGATCCAGCATAATATACTGGAGTTTGGAGCACCGGTGCTCCAGTATCTTGGAGCCAGCAAAGTATACCGGTGTAGCATAATATGCTGGAGTTCATACACAGGTGCACCGAACTCCAGTATATTATGCTGGATCGGTCTCTGTTGCAGCAAAATAGTGGCTATTTTTCATTGACTTGTAAACGCTGGCTATTTTTGAATGACCAGTCCGAAAATTGAATATACCGTGCTATTTTGACAATTTTTTTAGTTACAGAGCTAAAAGCTATATTTGCCCATTTGAATAGGCTAAAAGCGTGTGTGAATTGTTTAGTTAGATTATTAAAATCTTGATGTCAAGTGGGACCTGATTATCTGAGTGCCACGTATGTAGTAAATCTGTCAGCCATGAGTGTATCAGACGGCAATAAAGAAGAGTCAAAAACTCATCACTAAGAGTCTCTTTGACTACAGAAAAGAAAATAATAAAAGGAACCATCCTTTTCTTTTTCTCAATTAAAGTAAACAAAGAAAATCCATTACTAGTACTACTAGTATTAGTAGTTGTACTACTAACTTTTCTAATACTTTGACTGAGCTGTCTCCCCATTCGAGGCCCCTCTTTGTTGAATTTCGAGCTACTTTATTTAATTACTAATCCTTGCAATTTAGCCCAATAAATTGACCATCATACCCCTAATTCTTATTATACAAGTTCTTTTTATAATATTTTCTTTTATTTTTAATATTGAGTAATGAAATTCACGAGATTACTTATAGGGGTGGGCATAGGGCAGTTCGGATTAGATATCAAAACTTCGGTTTGGATTTTCGATTTTCGAATTGAAAAAATGACAATTCAAATCCAATCTAAATAAATTCGGATTGGATCGAATTTTTTAAGTTCGGCTCTGGATTAATCAATTTGGATATTTTGGATTTTCGGTTCTAAACCTATAAGTTGGGATGTTACTTCTTCTTACAATATGAAAATCCAGATAAAGTATTCATGTTAAATTGCCTAAAAAGTTCATCATTCTTACTGCAACCATCTAAATAAAGTATTCAAGTAATGAAATCATCATCAAAAATATGCAACAACGAAATTAGTAAGGCCGATAAGAAGTAGCAATAGTAAAATCATGTCCAAATAGAAATTATTCGGATAGTAACCTAGTAATTAATATATTTAATATATAAGATTATGTCTAATGGGTAGGGTATTTGACTTATTACTATTGGCATATGAATAATGGACTAAACAATAGTATAAAAAATTTGAATTTCCTGAAAGCAATCCGAAATCTAAAAATTTTAAAAACTAAAAATCCAATCCGTAATCCGAAAATCCAAACTAAAAATTCAAAAAATTCGGATTTCGATTTGGATTTCGGATTTGCCCAAACTATGCCCATCCGTAATTACTTATTCTTATAATACTACCATATCGGCCACTACATAAGGCTGTTTGGCCAAGCTTCTAAAATCATCCTATCTTAAAAAGTACTTTTAGTGAAAGCAATTTATGTTTGGCTAATTAATTTGAAAAGTACTTTTAAGCAATAATTAGTATTTAGTCAAAATTTTAAAAAACTGCTTTTAAGTATACTTTTCTCAAAAGTAATTTTTGAAAAAAAATGCTTTTTGAGAGAAACTACTTTTTTTTTGTTTCTCAAAAACTGTTTTTGCTTCAACCAAAAGCACATTTTTCCTTCTAACAGCTTGGCCAAAGCCAAACACTATTAATTTTTTTTTTAAAAAAAAACACTTTCGACGAAAAAATACTTTTGGCAAAAAAAAAAAAAAAGGATAACTTCTATGTATAGCAAGACTTAACTCAAACATTTCATACTATAACTACCGAGCTTTCAACTAAAACTGCTAGTTAATGAGCTTTCAACCATTTGGCATAAAAACTTAAAATTGTTTTGAGGACAAAAATGTCATAAAGCTAACTAAATTAAATTTGCCTTGTTGTTGGAGATGATACCAATGTTATCTTTTCTTAATAATAATGGAAAATTTTAATCGTGTGGGTTTTGTTTAGTTTGACTAAATATACTTCTTTACTCCTTTCCTATGAAACCACCCCCACTTCTCTTTTTCCTCATTTCTTAGCCTTTTACTCTTAAAAGTCTCATCTTTTTGCCTTTCCACATTTATATTTCTATACTAAGACTTCTTGTTAGGGTTTCTTTGCTTACCAAAATTAAGTCATTCAACAGATTTGAATGAAAATTCGTTACATGGGTTGTTTTATTATTCCAAGAAATCATTAAAGATCCAAACTTTGAGCTCAAAAAAGCAAACCAGGTTGGTGTTTAACTATTCTTGACCTTACTCTTTTTTTTTTTAATTTTAGAAATTTATTGTCTCTAATTGGTAACTCAGTTGAAGAATTTGGATTTGGGGGCTTTCCAACAAGTAAGTGGATTAAGGAAATCTTTTATTAGTAGTTTAGATTGGTTGTATTTTGTGAGGATTCATATAGTGACTGAGGCATAGTTATTATCGTTGTTATATTATGCCTGAAAATTCATCAGCTTGTTTGTATATATACTATATATCGACTCCCCTTGGCTTTTTAGTAGGTTTACTTCTTCATATTTTGGCCCCCTTAGTGAAAATTCTGATATGTAACAAACCAAGAAACTTGACTGATTCCTGATTCTTTATTGCTATTGATTGGTTGATTGTTTACATTTAAACTTATACTGCCTAAGGATCTATATACACTCTTTATGTAACTTCAATGGTATAATACTATAGATTTAATCATTTTGACTACTTAGAGTTAAAAGAAATTGATGCCAATTGGCTATGTTTTAGGTTGATGAGAAAAGTAGAGCTAAAGTTACTCAAATTCTGTTTTGAAAAATAGTAGGAAATCATTCAATCTCTTAGTTGCTAAATCCAGCTTGATTGGTGGAGGAAAGTGGTGATACAATTTCTTGATTGTAATTTCGGCGGTGATTGGTTTTACTCTGTGATCTTAGATAAATGTTATTGGTTTGATTCCATGATAAGCCTGTGTTGCTCAATAGTTTAGGTTGTAAAGTGTTTTGCAATGGTTATCATGTATTTCATTCTTACTACTGATTTGGCAGGACGAAATAAATCAAAGGGCCGAATTATTTAGACACCGAGATGGGATGTTTCACTGTTTCAAAGAGTAAGAAGAAATTGTCCGAGCAGAGTATCCACATCAAACGTGTGAACCCTCAGGAGCAGTCACCTACCGCACTGCCTGAACCCCAGATACGCACAAGATCATTGTGCTCCGCACCACCTAGTTTTAGAACAAGAGTGAAACCAGTGCAGTCAAACAATGGAGTAACAAGCAGTAGGACACGAGCTTTATCCGCCCCATCAAGTCTGGACTCAGCGGAACAAGATGCTCTAGCGTCGAATGAATGTGAGGAACATGAAGAGTTGAGGAGTCGTGTTGGATCAGCAAAGGAATACTGCTCACCAGTTCCTCAGCCTCTTCCTCTTCCATCACCTCAGAATGCTGCTGCTTCTCTCAGGACTATGAGAAGCTTCAAAATAGGGAATACAAGTGGCCCTCTCAATGCCTCTGGACCGTTGCCGCTGCCTCCTGTGTTGCCTCCTACATTGCCTTCTACTGGAATGCTGCGGAACTTTTCTTTTGATGAAATTGCTGCTGCATGCCACCATTTCTCTCCGGAGCGTTGTATGTCAGAAGGTCTTTCTTCTGTCATTTACAGAGCTTCTTTTGGGGATGATGCCTCTAGTTCAAAAAAGCTTGAAGCCACTATAACCCGCCTTCACCCTTCTTCACAGGTAATGTTCAATTTACATTGGCATGTTGACTTTATATTGTGCTAGCTGTGTGTCTTCTGTTGATTAGTCCCTCTCTTTCTGTCCTATATCTGATGTCGCAGTAATTCTGTAATGCCAGTCCACTTTGGTGTCTAAGCTTGGCAAGGTTCATATTTGGCCAAGTTTAGCAGCACTGTTTCTCTGTACTTGTTACCTTTTCTGTTCTGCAGCTGCAAAGAATAAATATTGTCCAACTCAGGAATTAGCAGTTGCAGGACATAAGTCTGCTTCAGATTGCACTTATAAGTTTCATTTGTAGATCACACATTATTTACTGGATGGTTTCATTTCCCTTGTTGGTTTTAGCAAGTCTATGATAGTTTGGAACCACTCTAACTGTCTTTTCGACCTTTTCAGGGTTTGAAGGAATTTGTCAATGAGGTGAACACCCTGGCGTCTTTGCAACACTCTTCACTTTGTAAACTGATTGGTTTTCATGCTCGCGAAGGTTCTGAGCACAGGATGTTGGTTTTTGAGAGACTTTTCCATGGAAGCCTAGACCGGCTTTTGTTTGGAAGATCAGATGGCCCCCCTATAGATTGGAATGCTAGAACGAAAATTGCGTTATGTGCTGCACAAGGTCTCACATTCCTACATGAGGAGGGACCTTTCCAGGTATCAACACTGTCATCCGTAATATGTAGTCTAAGCTGTGTGGCCATTTTTCCCATCATGCAAACTTGTAGTTTTGTGTGTCATATTTTGTGTTTCTATAACAGGGAAGTTCCTAGTTTTTATATTGTGGCTTGACCTACGATATTGTCATTTTTTGCTGAATTTCTTATTTCCACCAACAGGCAATGTTCCATGAATTTTCAACTGGAAATATACAAATCGACAAGGATTTTAGTGCAAAGCTCTCAGGGTATGGATGCATTACGAATATACAAGAGACAGAGATATCTTGCAATTCAGTCGTAAGTTCTCTTATTTACTGTTGCAGTCACACAACATTTCTTTTATCTCTGCGAAATGCTGATCTTAAAATTCAAAATTTACCCAAATTTTTGGGAGGAATAGCAGAGGTGTCTGGGCTGTGTTGTGCAGTTTGATCATCAGCAAGCTCTGTTTTCCATGCATTTAAGATGTATGTCAATAGAGTCTTAGTTTTGGAGCATGTCTTGATAAAAGTTGTGACTCATAAATTCAGCTGATGTGGCTCTTAATAGAAGAGACAACAATGCCTCATAGTACTATTTGTTGCATATTTTGTGTTTCTGCTACTCTCGGTCTAATGATGAGTTCGGTTACATTATTTGCACCTTCTTACTTAAAAGATTTTAATTAGCAGACAACGCTCATTTGTTCAGGCCCTGGCAAATCTCTCGCAAGAGACACTAGAGAGAGGGTTGCTAACTCCTAAGAGCAATGTTTGGAGTTTTGGGATTGTTCTTCTAGAACTGCTCACCGGCCGGAAGAATCTCGATGGTCGGCATTCAAAGGAAGAGAGGAATTTAGTCAAGTGGAGTAGGCCTTTCCTCGCTGATGATGGTAGATTATCGCTAATCATGGATCCTCAGCTAAAAGGCCGGTTCCCCCCTAAAGCAGCCAGGACAGTGGCTGATATTGCTCAAAGATGTCTGCAAAAGGATCCGTCTGAAAGGCCCACCATGAGAACCATCGTCGACCAACTCAAGTCTGTACAAGTGATGAAGTGTCCTTCACGGTTTCCTCTGCAAGAACCAGCGGCAGTTGGTGGTAAACACATGTCAAAATCTCCAAGTATGAATGGAATCATCACCCCTGCGCCAAAGTTGAGTTTCTCCCCTTCCTTACCAATCACCCGAGCATCGGCTTCTCCCTCGAAGTCTGCTACGCAACCCTCGTCTCGTCCTTCATTAACATGTTCCTACTCTTTCTCTTTGGAAGACCTTGATCGACTGGAAAGCCGAAGGTCATCATCTTCATCTTTTCGCAGGTCTAGTGTTGAAGGATTTTGAATGGTTATTCTTTGATTGGTTACTTCTAGCCCTCTCCCTTTGACAAGTGATTACATGAAAAGATACAGAGGATAAAGATGTGGTTTTCCACCTTCCCATTGTTCAAGGAAGAAGACTTGGGAAATAACATTTTGTAGATAAGGTTTGTCCCGTTTATTTGAATAGTGTTCTGTGAATCAAGATGTGTGGGCAGATGAAGATGTTCTTTTAACGTTTTATTCGTCAACCTCCGGCCCCTGCCAAGGAAAAGAAAATCCCCAATTGGCCGGAAAGAAATAAAAAGAAAAAGGTAAGGAAAGATAGAAAAGAAAGAAATCCCCTTTTGCTGCTTCTTTAAAATGATGTATATTTGTACAAGTATTTTTCTTATTGTATCAAGAAATATTGTATATTTGAAATTTGGCTTGGTGAGAAAATATGGCTTCAGTTGGCCTGACAGTAGTGAGACTGATGCAATCTTGATATTTAATAGATAAGTTAATCTTAGTGTTTCATGTTATCTGGAAAGTTTTGTAATCTAATGCGTGGCTATCTTGAGTGAAATACAAGGTTGAAATGCATTAGCACCAACTGAAAGTGGCAGCTGTGTATAAAGTTCTGCCCACTAAAGATGCAGCTATTAGCAGCTTGTGAACAATATTGGCCTATAACTTTCTCTCTGATGAAATGCATGATTTTTCTGTTTGTGGATGGTCGACGAGTTTTTTTGTTTCTCAAGCTAACTATCGGAAATAGCCCCTCTACCTTCCAGGTAGGAGTAAGGTCAGACCCCATGGGATTATACTGGGTTTTTTGTTGTTGTTCAAGCTAACTATTCAATCTCACTGATCTGGAGTCCATGCACGAGGATTTCTTCACGTTGAACTCTTTAATCTTGAGGGAACGTATTTAAATACAATTATCAAGGCACACAGCAGCAAACTATATACAGAATTATTTAACAAACTACTTGACATACTCCTAACTACAAGAGATCAATAAGGTGGGGGGTTTGTGATGATATGGGAAAGGGTGGTAATCTCATATGCTGTTGGTCCATTAAGAAAAAGAATAGAAAAAAAGTAATAGCAAGCAAAAGGATTCATGTTTCATGAATTGTCCTTTCCACTTTGGTCTGGTTCAGAGTTTTCCTTTGCGCCCTCCTGTTCTTGCTCTTGAGTTGTAGAAGCGAAGCACTGGTCTTCGTGGATGTGTACCTCACTCTCTCTGGTGTCTGGGGGCAACCCTTGGGACCCTGAGCTCCCTTGTTGTTCAGAAACTAAGCTTGTTAGACCATTCTGCCTCAGATATGTCTCTAGCGGAAGACTTGCTTGCTGAAGAAGAGACATCATGCTAAGATGAGATGAACCTGTATCTTCCCGATTTGGGTGACAGTTTAAGTCTAATTGCGACTTACTGGTTTCAGGAAGCTTCTGCAATTGATTGCTGCTATGGCCCCTCGGCAGTGTCTCGCTTCCTGATCTTTCTTTGTCTGAAGGATCGACTTCTGGTTTCACCTGTCTAGAGAAGCTGTCCACTTCCGTCTCTTCCTTTGAACTCCACATAAGTTGATTCCTCTGGCCAATTTCCGCTTCACGTTCTGATTGACGCTTCTTTTTACGCATCATAAGTGTCTTGAAACGACGTTTGACTGTCAAGCAGACATTGCATGTACATGTTGGATTATGTTTGCCCTTCCCGCTGGGAGGCTGGATGCACACAATGCAAGAACAGCCAGGTCGATGCCTTGGGTGTTTTGTTGTGGTTGCAACTGACGTGGCCCCAGGCTCTCTAACGTCACCAGCAACACCGGTCCCATTTGCTTGAGAATCTAAGTCAGAAGAATCATGGGCATGCATTGTCCTTTGGCCTGCTGCACTTCTCCGTTTCTTTAAATCTGTGCAAAAAAGAAACATAGATTTTCAGTTCATATGTGCACAACTGCTTACAAGCATAACTACGCACCTGGTAATTGACATTAGAGTTAGTGTAACCACAGGCTTACAACAAATAATGATGGCATGCACGAGATAAGTATATTAAAATCCAGAGTCCATAAATTTTAGGGCATGATTCGTATGAGAACCAGCTGGTGCATAGATGGAAATATAGACTGAAACTAAAGCAACAAGTTACTCACCCTTGTCCATTTTGAGAAGATATTCAAGCTCTCTGGGTGTTAAATCGTCTGGGACAGAACAAGAGCACCTGAGAACACGAGCATCACAAGTATAATGTTAAGTCACATTAATGCGCTGTTGCGCAAAAATTTATTGATATTGTGAACTCCCTGACCTGCTATGATCAAATATGTTGTCCTGACATGTCCACTGAGGAGGTAGAAGATAATCAGCTGGCAACCTTCGCCACTTAAAGCAATTATCGCATTGAGCCCACTGCTCCTGCTCCCTGAGATCAGTGATGTAGCAGTAAACTTCCAATTCGAGCAGTGTAGGGATCACCAAATGTCAAAGAGATGGGCATGAAAAAGGATGTTTAGAAAAGCAAAAAAGTATGCAAAAAGAATATTTTGCAGTTGAATATGTTGGTGCAAATTACAGTCTTTAGTTCAATGGTGATGCTATACTATTCAGCGCCAAATATAAAGCCACATTCTGTCTATGCCTCCATCCAACGTCTTACCACTGTTTTGTCATTCTCACCCTCTATTTTCTCTTTTCTTGCTAGTGAAAACAATTCAGAATAGGTATTTAAGACGGGTTGCTTATTGCTGATGTCCTCTTTCATCTTTTTTTTAAGCAACAAGTTGGTCTATTGGAATACATTCTGATGGATTAGTCTTTCTTACCCAGATGAGCGGACAGTAAATATGCTCCTCTTCCCAAGAACAGGTGGTTGCTGCATTGCGTAGAACAAAGACATCAAAGCAAAGTCAGAGTTCTCTAGCGGACTGATTAAATCTTAACTAGCAAGTTCATCTAGTTCAACCATAGAGCATGAGCAGCACAAATTAATTAAAATATAAAGCTACGTACTTCATACTCTTCAAATTCGTGGTCCTCAATTGTGACAGTGGTCGGCTGAATACTCAGCGGTGGTCGGAGCATATCCTGTAACTCTTCCCATGAAAGTTTCAGCTCCAAAGCCTCATCGGAATCAATGAGCAGTCTCTTACTTTTTGACCCAATATTACGACTCCTTTTACGGTCTGAAACAGGCAATGAAGGGGAGAATGTGCCATCTGCATTCCTGCCTTCGTTCTTCTCAGTTAAGTACCAGCTAAAATCACCACTATTGAAATGCTTAGAAGACAAATTCACAGAAGACTCTCTGCTTCCTTTGAACGACTGAAGAAGGCCAGAGTAACCACTCATTAAAGGTAGATTCTCAGGCATCGCTGAGAAGGAGGTGGGTTCAGTGGAGAAAACACTCTTCGGTATGGCTGATAGACGAGTTTCCTGTTTAGGTAATATAAATCAATATTATGTCATAAGCCGCTAAAAGATGAAACCCCTAAGTGTGCTAGTTACCTGAGTTGAATTAACAGTTGATGCTTTACGAAACCCCATTAAAAGCTTTCCTTCTGGATCCATGCGACTGAAAGTTACTGAAATGAAATGTTCTTAAAGGATGAGAAATGAGCAGCAGAATTTTAAGTCTGAATAGATAGCCCAAAAACCAAAAAAGGAGCAAATATGCTAAACTGAAATGAAAGAAAAATTTCAGAATTCATTCACTAGACCAAAGCAAGGCATATGTTCCCCCCCCCCCCCCCCTC